TATACCAGGATGCCAAGAAATGCAATTCTCACCCTTCAATTTAAAATATTTTAAATAATCTTTTTTTTTAAAGATGTTATTTATTTATTTGACAGAGAGAGATCACAAGTAGATGGAGAGGCAGGCAGAGAGAGAGAGGGAAGCAGGCTTCCTGCCGAGCAGAGAGCCCAATGTGGGACTCGATCCCAGGACCCCGAGATCACGACCTGAGCTGAAGGCAGCGGCTTAACCCACTGAGCCACCCAGGCGCCCCTCAATTTAAAATATTTAAGGGATACCTGACTTCACTAATTCTACAGAAGTCTTCTGTAAACAGCAAAGACATCCTCCACTTTTCCTCTCCAAATCTGTGTACAAAACCACAAAATCCACATAGCCAATTTCCGGACCAACATCAGAAGACCTGCAAATAATGATATGTTATTCTAGGTATGACAGCCTCTGTGATACTAAGGCTGAGTTCCAATTCCCTAGACTCCTTTCCCTTTACCTTACCTACTTAACTGCATTGAACATCACATTCCCTTTGGTTTCTAGGGCCAACAATATTCAGATGTGGCTAGGTTTGCACACTGATGCAGAAGAGACCTACACTTTTGCAAGCAGCACCAAACCTTAGGAGTTAAACAGTTAAGGCTACATATAAATGATAGCAGCGTTGCCAAGAAAGAAGCAGAAGGGGAGCACTACGAAGTCTACAAAGTAACATGTGGTTAGAAACTCTCACTAGCCATCAGGGAGATTCAAATTAAAACCACATTAAGATACCACCTTACACCACTTAGAATGGCCAAAATTAGCGAAACAGGAAACAACATGTGTTGGAGGGCATGTGGAGAAAGGGGAACCCTCTTACACTGTTGGTGGGAATGCAAGTTGGTGCAGCCACTTTGGAGAACAGTGTGGAGATTCCTTAAGAAATTAAAAATAGAGCTTCCCTATGACCCTGCAATTGCACTACTGGGGATTTACCTCAAAGATACAGATGTAGTGAAAAGAAGGGCCATCTGTACCCCAATGTTTATAGCAGCAATGGCCATGATCACCAAACTGTGGAAAGAAACAAGATGCCCTTCAATGGATGAATGGATAAGGAAGATGTGGTCCATAGACACTATGGAGTATTATGCCTCCATCAGAAAGGATGAATACCCAACTTTTGTAGCAACATGGACAGGACTGGAAGAGATTATGCTGAGTGAAATAAGTCAAGCAGAGAGAGTCAATTATCATATGGTTTCACTGATTTGTGGAGCATAACAAATAGCATGGAGGACAAGGGGAGTTAGAGAGGAGAAGGGAGTTGAGGGAAATTAGAAGGGGAGGTGAACCATGAGAGACTATGGAATCTGAAAAACAATCTGAGGGTTTTGAAGGGGTGGGGGGTGGGAGGTTGGGGGAACCAGGTGGTGGGTATTGGAGAGGGCACGGATTGCATGGAGCACTGGGTGTGGTGCAAAAACAATGAATACTATTACGCTGAATGGAAATAAAAAATTAAAAAAAAAAGAAACTCTCTTATATTACTTACAGGGAAATCATTGGGTGATCTTAGCTCCCCAACCAGACTGAACTCTCTGTGGGCTGCTGCTGCATCTCATATTTATTTGGGATCCCCATGGTACCTGCCACACAGCTGAGCACATTGGATTCTCTAATAATGCTTACTGATATCTAATGCCATGGTGATAAGGTATGATGGAGTGCTCCAAGGGAAGAAGTTCCCCACTCCTTTATGGAGCCACTGTAAAGCCCTGTAACTGACTCTGCAGATAAGGAAGGGAGTGGGTTTGTCACAAGGTAGCCCAGCAGAGAAACCTAATGTGCAGTGCTTTGGTCTCAATCTGGAGAGTAATAATGTAACATATGCTCAGAAAAGAAAAGTTATCCTGAATTGAATTGACCTGTTTACTTGTCTGCCTCCTTGTAAACTCCCTAGGGTCAAGGATCAAGTGTTTTATTTTTGGATCCTGGGCAAGTAGTGCAGTATCTAGCACATTCTAAATGTGCGACAAATGCTATTGGGGTTAATGAACAGATAAAAGAATGGTTTGATGAAATAATGCAAAGAAAAATGTAAGTAACATAAGATTTAATACAGGAGTCTCCATAGAATCTCATTTTTATCACATCATAGCACTTACCACTCTGTTATAACTTCTTAATAAATGATGGTTTCTTGGATGGATTAATTAATTAATAGGAAAATATAAAGAGGAGGTAGGAAATATATCAGGATATTACTATCCTAGGAATGGAGAATATCCTATTGAATGCAACAGCAGCATAAATCATTCCTGCAAATCACCTATTTGTTTGCTTGTCTCCCCTGTTAGAATGTACATTCCTTGAGATGACAGAAGATCTTTTTTATTTCTGTAACACCAAAGCCTAGAGCAGAAAAAAAGTAGACCTTCAATGAATATTAGCTGAAGGTATGAATCAACCATTCTTGCTCTTCTATAGATTTCACTGTACCTAAGTATTCTACCTAGTCCTCATTCAGGGACTTCCGATATGGAAAGAAAAGGAGAAGTGTCATTTTCCCCATGCATAACTTTGTGACAGATGCAGGTTAAAATGACCTCCTCTTTCTGAATGGGTTTCTCAGTTGAACTCTACAGGACTGCATATTAGAAATACACACTTGGTCTCACTGTGTCTAGGACATATTGCCTTGGCCCTTGACTAGCCCTAGACACTACATATCTCTGTGATTTTGTTAAATAAGGAGAGCATGTGGCTTTGTGAATTGGGGAGAAGATCAGAATTCAGACTTTCAATGGCTTTTCTAAGTAATTGAAGCAATATTTTATATCATTCTGCCTATAGGAGAATCAAAAAGAACACCAAGATCTTTGGTAAACCATGAAGACACACACACTCATATGTCTCTTGCCCACTGTAAGTATCTCATAAGCACTGGGGCTCACATTTCTCTAGTGCCTTGAATTGATCACAGAAATAATCACCACATCCTCAGATGATGATTATTTTGTCTACCTCCAAAAACAAGAGCAGTCAGCACCTGAACCCACAACGTTGCCATCTTCTACCTCCATTATTTAATATCCAATATGAATACTCCAAGCACACCACTTTGTAGGTGTTACCTATACAAAACCAACTTAAATTCCTCTTTAGTTACAGTGTCTATGGGGTCACACTCAGGTGTGCAGGCCATTATAAATGATTCTCCAATTATTGTCTAGTGAGGAGATCTATGATTCAGGGAACACGTATGTGTCACACCCTTTACATTACACAATGCCATACTATTTCTTGGACCGACCTTGCATGGCAGATGTGCCCATTTTGTAGATGAGGAAACAGAGACTCAGAAGGACTCCATACCAAGAGATGTCCCCCAGATTCAAAATCATGGTCTACTTGATTCCACCACATAGCACTACCTCTTCTTTTCCGTGGCTAAACTCTTATTAGTCCACAAGTAGTCCTCCAAAAAGTCTATGATCTAGTTCCTAGTAGTATATACTGATGTCCATAATTGTAACAGTGCCTCTGTGGCATGATATTGGATTTTCAATAAATCCTTATATATAGATTAATAGATTGAAAATACTGGTGCTTTTGTTGCTGGCTGAAGATCATCAGTTTCTCATTAAAAGCACTGTTGTTTGGTCCAATTACTTCTGGTGAGAATGATTTTTCAGGAAACTAGGGAAAGCAATTGATTCAATTGCCCTCTGAAATTGATACAAATACTATGAGACCATTTTATATGCATCATAGCCTAGGTAGGTCAGGCTGAATTATTTCCAAGGCAGGAAGGTGGCACTGAAACAGCACTTGCCAGAAAGTTATAGAGCCCTGTGATCTAGTCTCTCCTCTCTTTCTTTCTCTGCCTCTGCACTTCCCTCTTCCTCTCCCTCCCTACCCCACTCCTCTCTCTGTGTGTCTCTCCATGTCCTGCTCTGTGAGTCTGAACAACTCCCTTACCATCTCTGGACTCTGTTTCATCTACTGAAGGGTAATCTATCAAGATAACTATTGCAAGGCCCAAAGGAGACAATGATTGGGCACGTGCTTCAAAACCTGTGGAAGTGCCTTTCAAATCTACAGTATTCCTTTCATTAGTGGCCTGGAAGAGGGCATATGCCTCCCAGTGCATCAAATTTCCAACGAAAGAGGAACTTAAGCAATTCATGGAACATGAAACCAACTTAAGAACTGTTACTTATAGCGTTCCACCCACCCACCCACCATCATCCATGTTATCACCCTACTACCCTGAAATTGTTCAAGAGCCAGCAAACATCAGACCACACAGTGTTAAAAAAAAAAAAAGCTTCCATTTGAAAACCTTCATACCTGGTAAAGGGAAACAGAGCCAACTCAGATCATAGTTAATTTCTGAAATGTTTGTTATTAGTGACAGTTTCCACCTCCTTGTTTGTCAAACATCACCAAACCAAAAGAACTACCAAGAAATGGCAACCTGGTTTTTAAAATTTTTTTGTTTGTATCCCTTTAACCAGCCCACCCATATTCTTGGGAAAGCACATATATGGCCAAAGAAAAAGCAAAAGGGGGCTTCAGGAAGCTAAATCACTCTTGCACTGGAGAATTGGCCCCTGAGCATTGTAGGGTTCACCCATCTTTAACACTGCTTGTCGATCCACTCTTTCTCAGCCACTTTAACTGGAACACTGGTACCGCTGGCTGGCAAGCATACCGCATTGCAACAGGTGGAGCAAATTCATATTATGCCAGAACACCATACAGAGACTTCCAAGGTACAGACCCCTTGAGCTCCCACCCTTAACATCCACCCCTACAAAGACCCAATATTTTGGGCTATCCTTTGCCCCAAGAGACCCTGCTGGCAAACACTGACTACAGAAATGGGCTTAGGCAAAGAAGTCCTCCCCACCCCTGCAGGCGAATTCTGCAGCCTAGAGCCTAAGTGGGTCTGGGGGAGCAACATGGGAAAGAGAGCCAGCCGGGAGGACCTCTTAGAACCCCTTAGCTGCACTCACCTCAGGCAGAGGCACACCGTTGATGATCAAGTCTGGCTGCTGGGGGCCCTGGCTGTTGAAAGAGTGATGGTAGATGTGGTTGGCACTGGTATTGCGGGTATTCTGGTTTTCCACATTCAGGAAAGTGCTCTCTGAGCGGCGGCAGCCCAGGGGCAGTGTCTGCTGGTGGTAGTCGAAATAGTTGAGGGAGGAAGTCAGGGAGGAGCAACTGACAACGTTCATCTTGTCTGTCTCCTCCACATCCCGGGGTACCAGACGAATGTCATTCTTACTGATTTTTTTCTTCTTGCTTGATTTCTTTTGATGCCCATAGGAGTACTCGGCGATTCTACGTGACACACACACACACACAAAAAAAAAAAAAAAAAAAGAAAGAAAAAAAGAAAAAAAAAGGCAACATGTATTGCTAATGCTCTCCCAAACCATGCATTGGTTAATAAATATTAAGCACCCCAGAGGGTTGCACCCCTTATCTGCTCCAGCTTCTTATTCTGGTGCATTACATCATCAGGTTTCTCCTGTGCTTTGTACATGTGAAAACAAGCTAAGGGCCATACAGTTTTCATATAAAACATACAAACCTCCCATTCCTCCACCCCCCCAAAATGTTTCTATACTCTGGATGTGCAATTTCTCATTGCCAGTGGCTACTTAGCAAGAGAGGGAAAGTTGAGCCTATGGGAGAGAAAGCATGAAAATGGTCAAGTCTGGAGCTCCCCTGGAACCCAAAGGAACCTCTGGGTGAAATAAGAAGCAAGTATTAATTTAAAAGAAGGGGAGACAGAAGGAATTAAAAAATAATCTCCTTTCCAGTTCCTCCAGGCATTTGCCTATGTAGCGAACACTCTCAGTCAGATACCTCTTTGACCTGATCAGTTTTGCAGTGAGGTAGATCAAACCCCACCCTTTGATATACCCTCAGCTTCTCTCCTCCACACCCTCCTTCCCCCTGCCCTACCCCTGCTCCCTTCTACTCCCCACCCTACCCCCTCCTCTCCTGGAGAAAGTGGAGAGCCAAACCCATTTGGATGAGGGGAAGTGCTTTTTACCTCTTTCCCCTTAGGCTCACTTTCTCCTCTGCCTTTTTGTCTTGCTCCTTGCTAATGGGAGAAACCGAGATGCAATGCGGACACTTGCTGTTTTGTCCTTTTATAAAACAGCCAAGGAGACAAGTGATGGTTAAACAATTACTGCAAAGGAATTTAAAGGTTAGTGCATTCAGCATCCTTCTCCTTTCAGGTGCACCTACAAGCAGCTGTGCTGCAACTGGAACATAAAGAGCTCAATTTAATTAACACTGACACAGACCCAGCAACGTGCACCGAAGACACCAAGCATTAAGAGACTTGTCAAAAGAAATACATTGAATTGTAGCTAGATCCTAAAAGTCATTTATTCCTTTGCACATAATGATTCACCTTATTGTTTGAAATTCAATTTCTGGTCAATAATCAGCAAAACAATAGGGTTAATAAATAATACAGGTTGATCTTTACAAGGGAAAGACTGTGACTGTCTTCCTGCTCAACAAAGCTAATTGTCTGAATACAAAAAGGGAGCCGAATTCAGCAGCAATTGCAGATCACCTCACAAGTCTCATAAATGAATGCACTTGAGGAAGAGGCTCAGGAGGGGCTGAGAAAAGAAAACCTCTTGTCTAATACATGGAAAGACAGGCTTTCTAAAAGGTCTAAGCGTACAGGAAGATTGCATATTTCCCGAGGCAAATTCTTACTCTATCCCAGGGATGTTCCTAGGGCTGCGCAGTTACATTCCCCTCGCCCTTTCGCTGTGTTCAGGCATACTTGCAGCTGATGCTACTGGAGTTTAAGAGCAGATAAAATCCCAAAGACACCAGGACTAGGGTTTATTTTCTTCTCTAATCTGTTTATAGAATCAATGGGAAGTTTTAATGATTTTGTTTACCCATGATGGATACGTTTGGCAATGCCCCGTCCAATTACTTGGCTGAGGCATTCACTGAGCAGCCCTTTCTGTATTGACCAATTATTTAATTAAACTGTACTTCATTAATCCCAAACCATCATGGGGAACAGAGCTCTTTACAAAATACACATGTGAGTGAAGTTGGAGAGCACTGAGATTTTCTTTTTCCTTTTTTTTTTTTTAATTTCAAATGCTCTCTTCCCTGTTTAATGATCTCCCTGGCAAGCTCTCAGAAAGAGCTCTCATTTCTAGTCATATATCACCAAGAAGTGGCAAAGCCTTCACTATCTTTATTTCAAGATGATTTCTTTTTCATCAAGAAAAGGGTCTTATACATTTACTTTACACTACGGAAATGGCTTAAAAAGAGTCCACTCTATCATTATCTCCATATAAATAAAATTTTACAGACCCCTCATTTTTTCTCCTATAAAAATCGCCACTGGCAGTCACAGGTTTCAAAGGTAAGAGCAATATTAATTCCCATTTCTCCCGTCTGAAATGACTCAGAGCTGAAGGAAAGAAAAGTCACGGCCATTTCACTAGTAACAGGATTAAAGCATTTATGAGGCATTGCAGCTGCTCTTTTATGGCACCTGATTGATATTCATGTGTGGTTAGCATTTGTCTACTAACTTGTGTAACGCAGAGAATAGTAAAAGGGAAACAATAATTGCATGGCTGTTACATATTCAGGGGGCTCTGATTCACAGAAGTGTGCATTTCAGATGGTGTCAAATACAAACTGGACCTACAGGAACATATTTTGACTGATTAACATGCAAGCACAGATGGCACAAAAGACACGCTGGATGTGTAGGTGTGTTGAAAGCACACACCACACACACCTTGGTTGGAAACAGCAGCATCATTCAATTTCAGCAAATTAAAGAAACAACGTCTTTTTTTTTTTTTTTTCAACTGTTTCGATGAGACACTGCTGGAAAAAATTACATGTATTTATCCTAACTTGGACTCCAGAAATACTTATTCTTATTTGTTCTGGCCAATTGTAAGGAAGGGCTTCAACAAGACCCTTTAATGTGTTTATCAGGATTTTTTTTTTTTTAAATAATACTTGTCGGGGCGCCTGGGTGGCTCAGTGGGTTAAGCCGCTGCCTTCGGCTCAGGTCATGATCTCAGGGTCCTGGGATCGAGCCCCGCATCGGGCTCTCTGCTCAGCAGGGAGCCTGCTTCCTCCTCTCTCTCTACCTGCCTCTCTGCCTACTTGTGATCTCGCTCTGTCAAATAAATAAATAAAATCTTTAAAAAATAAATAAATAAATAAATAAATACTACTTGTCATTTCCAGTTTTTGCGTTTCTATTCTCATCCCGCCACTCCTCCCCACATACACATGCACCCTGCATATACTCCAGGAGAAACTGTAACACAATAGCCCATAGTGACATCCACTGGTAGGGACCAGATCTTAATGCCACAGCTGAATCCCACATTACAGAAAAACACCATCAGCTCCAGAAGATTGCTATTTTTACTGTAACAGCTGGGAGGCAAAGTCCTATCCCTCATTGAGATGTTTGGTCTCTACCTCATCAATCAACCAGATATGTGAGAATATGAATGACCGGTAGAATTTCACCTTACATAACCAGATGTTTGGGTAATGGATGAAAACAAGCCAAGAACGCACTTTAAAAAAAAAATACTAATCACCTGCTTTCCCACACATTCCTGTTTTCTCTTCCCTCAACTCTGTTTCCTACCTTAGACACCCACTCACAGGCTCTCTTCAGTTTACTTACAAGACTGGGCGAGTACCAGCACTCCCTCTCCTTTCAGTATCTGTCGCCAAAGCACTGTGTCCCTGAAATCAAGTTGTGGGACTTGGGTGTTGGTGGTTCTGCTGAAAATTGACACACACACTCTCTCTCTCTCTCTCTCTCTCATTTTTTTTTCCTGCCATAACTTCATGGAGACAGCTGCACAAATTTTAAAATGATAATTGCTTTCCTGCTCATCATCATTGTGTGACAGAATCCACCACTCAAACAGTGAATGATTGTCTTCCAGCAAATTGTCAGATCAAAAGAATTGATCAACTTGGACTGCCACAAACTTTTCCCCCTTCAAAAACAAGCGCAGTGTGTACACAGCATGCATTTAAATAGGAAACAAAAGCAATGGGATTTTCACACAGAGACACAGATACAACTTATTCACCCAAAACAAAGGAAAGATAAAAAGTTGGCTCTACCTGCAGTTGTAGGTCCGGATCTCTTTGTTGTCTCGCTTGCACTTGATTGCCACAAAGATCATAGTGACAAAGAGGATGCCGGCAATGGAGCCCAGGGCGATAATGAAAATCAGGGACAAGTTCACCGAGCCCATTGACTCTTGGGCGTCAAGAGCAGGGGACAGGTAGATTAGGACTAGTGCAGAGGCAGAGAGAGACGTCTTGCCGTGGTCGTGGGCCACCACAATAAGCTCATAAGAAGCCTTTGAGCTCTCGCCAAAGGTGCGAGTGGTTCTGACTTCGCCATTGACCTGATCTATTTCAAAGAAGCCCCGGTCACCCTCCGTCATGTCGTAGGTGACCCGGCCATTATCACCCTCGTCGTAGTCGTCCGCTTTGACCACGGTCACCAGATAGCCTATGCCAGAGTTGCGGGGGATGTAGACTTCCGCAGTGCCATTGATCAAGGGTGGGGCCGTAATGACCGGGGTATTATCATTGACGTCGAGGATGATGACCCGAACTGTGGCGTTGCTCTGCAGCGAAGGCAGGCCGCCATCCTTGGCCAGGACCTTGAATTCGAATGCCTTGGTCTGCTCGTGGTTGAAGGATCGAAGCGCGTAGATGTCGCCCGAGTTGGGGTTGATGGAGACATAGGTGAAGACAGGCATGTCCCGCACCTGCGACGGCACAATCTGGTAGGAGACACTGCCATTGAGACCCAGGTCGGGGTCTCGGGCGGACACGGAAAGCAGGTAGGCGCCAGGTGTGTTGTTCTCCTGCACAATGACCTGGTAGTAAGGCTTGGAAAAGTGCGGGTGGTTGTCGTTCTCGTCCGTTATGCGAACTGTAAAGGATTTGGCACTCTGCAGCATGGGCACACCGCCGTCGCGCGCCTGGATCGTAAGGTTGTACTGGTCATGCTGCTCGCGGTCCAACCGTCCGTCCACTAGGATAGTGGAGAAGCTCTCATACTCCTGCAGCCGAAAGGGCACGTTGCCCAGCAAACGGCATTGCACGCGCCCATTAAGGCCGGAGTCCCGATCAGACACCCGCACCAGTGCAATCACGTAGCCCGGGGGGGCGCTCTCGCTTACCTCCACCAGCTCACTGTTAACTGACAGCAAGTTGATGACCGGCGGGTTGTCATTGGTATCGAGAACGCTGACGGTCACCTTGCAGTGTGCTGGGATGGAGTTGGGCCCCAGGTCCTTGGCCTGCACGTCCAGTTCGTACACGTGCCCCTCTTCATAGTCTAGGGCACCGGTGACTGTGACCAGGCCACTGTGTGGGTCAATCTGGAAGAGCTCACGTGTGCGGTCGTTGACATAGCCATAGAAGGAGTAGACCACCTGGCCATTGGTGCCTTCGTCTGGGTCGCTGGCATTGAGGCGGATGACAGGTGTATTGGGAGGTGAGTTTTCCGGCACACTCACTGCATAGGTGGACTCGCCAAACACTGGGTTGTTGTCATTGGAATCGGTCACTTTGATGCTGAGGCCAACAGTGCCCAGATGCGGTGGGTCGCCGCCGTCGAGTGCGGTGATGCGAAAGCTGTAATGCGACTGTGTCTCCCGATCCAGACTTTTCTCCACCACAAGTTCCGCAAACCGTGAGCCATCGCCGCGCGTCTTGATCTCCAGGCCAAACAGCTCATTAGGCGTGAGCTCGTATGTCTGCACGCCGAAGCTGCCTGAGTCCGGGTCATAGGCGCTGTCCAGCGGGATGCGCGTGCCGGGACTAGCTGCCTCGGAGATCTCCAGCTCGATCTGTGCCGCTGGGAAGCTGGGCGCATTGTCGTTCAGGTCCTTGATCTCCACCTTAATCACGCATATCTCCATTGAGCTGGACATGACCTCCAGCGAGATTATGCACTTGGGGCTCTGGCGGCACAGCAGGTCGCGGTCGATCTTCTGCTTGGTGACAAGCAGGCCCGAACTGGGATTAATGTCTACCAGGTGCGGAGCTGAGTTGGACACCACACGGAAGGCAGAGGCCTGCCGTGGATCCAGAGCAAAGCCCGCCTCGCGCGCATCCTTGGCCACGTTGGCGATCACCGTCCCGGCGCGCTGCTCCTCTTCTACCGAGTATTTGAGGTTAATGAGGGCAGCTGCCTGCGTCCACAGTACCGCCAACAGCAGCAGCACCGGCAGCAGGAGCGACTCCATGGCTGCGCGGGGCTCTGCCTGGCCTCGCCTCTCCACACCCCTCCGAGGCCGACGCCGCCGGCGCTCCAGCTTCCCGCTGACTCGGGCCGCCTGTTGCGCGCGCCCCGGGGCCCCGGAGGCCGCGGGAGGAGTCCCGCCCAGGGCGGCCCGGCGGCGCGGGGAAGGCGCCCGCGCCGGCTCCAATGCTGAGGTTGCAGCAGACTCGGAGGAGGTTGGCGGGGGGCCCGGGGGTTCCGGGGGGCCAAGGAAGCGCCACGCGGCCCCGAGCCCCCTCCCTCCAGCCCGGCTACTCAGTTTTCCCCCTTCAAAGTTAGCCAGGCGCGACCGGCCGCAGCGGCGCAGGGCTGCGGGTTGGACGCCGTCTGAGCTGCTTGGTCGACGGAAGGCTGAGTCTGGACCGCACTTGGGGCGAAGACCCGGAGGGCCGTGGGGGTGCAGCCTCTCAGGCACTGCCCGGCCCGCCGCAGCGCGCCAGTACTGGGGCTGGCGAACGCCTTGTCTGTGCACCTGGCATGCGCAAGGACCTCCCCCCAGCTCTCCTGGCTCACTGCGGAGAGAGAACCCGCCTGGAACGCGCCCTCCGAGGTCCGGGGGGGTCACGCTGGCCTTTTCAAGGTCTGTTGGAGAGAAATGATGATCAAAGGTGGGACTCTGAGTTGCTGTCAAACGCCGCAGGCTCCCGGGTATCCAGCTGAGCCGGATGGCTGCCGGTGGCGGGCGGAGGAAGGGGGAGGGGAGACAGGGAGGCTGCTGAGACAAGAGCACGCTCCCTCGCGCCAAGGTTGGCTTCCGAAGGCTTGGGGGTGCGTCTGCCCAGGAATGTAGGTGGGCGCGGAGTCCCCTCCACAGAGCAGCTGGACTGCGGGTGTTTGCGTCTTGGAAATCAAAGTTACCAACGCAGCCCAAGCCTCCACGTCAAGTTTGCGAAAACGGGGCGATGGCGATTTATCAAAGTCCAGTTCTTTCCAATGGCCCGGGGTGGGGGGCGGGGAATGGGGAAGAGGGGAGGGAAAGCGACAACAGTACCGGCCAGGAAAGGCGGGGCCGCTGCCGCGGGTACCCGGGGCTTCACCTCCTCCCTTGGTCTAGGCTGGGATGTCGCTCTGAGGGCCGCTGCTGCCGTGCCGCCGCCGCCGCCGCCGCCGCCGCCGCCGCCGCCGCCGCCGCCGC